TGCCTTTGGAAGAGACCATTAGATTAGTAGTGCAGAAAGTGGGATAACCTATAGTGATCTTAGCGGAGATGAAAGACACCATGAATGCTAGCAAAGAAAGGACAAAACAAAAAGACAACGAAACCCTCCAATCCGTCACGTATGTTAAAATGTAAATTCTACAAGATGCACTCCTAGCCTGAGGTTACCTGCTCGGCGATGTTAAAGGACGGTTAGCTCCAAAAATCTGCAATATTTAATGTTAATGAAACATTGATACAGGGCAATCTCTTACGAAAATCCAAGGAGTTTTCACTGGAAGTGATCTCTTTTGGTAAGAGATTAAAGCATCTTGACGTTCTACAGGTGCTCAAGGAGCTATTCCTCGCAGATGAGAGGTCTGGCATGTGGCAAAGATTAGCCTCCACACTCGCAGAAGCCTTTATGGCAAAAATTAAAAAGCCAATCTTAAAAAGCCGTCCCTTGCTCTACTGTAGGTATATAGACAATTGCTTAGACAATCGGCACACCTACTCCAAACAATAAAGCTGTAATTAAAACATGTCGCGCACAGCATCCCAGGTTTGCAATGGACAACGAAAAGGTTAGAATCGTTGAGGCTTGCCCGCAGCGTGGCTTCTTCCAACGGTTACGAAAATCATTCAAGCGCATCTAGGAGTTGGAAAGAACAGCATCGTGTGATAAGCAGACAGCAGTCGAGAAAATAGCCTTCTGCATCCCCTTTGTCTCGATGGAGAAACACTGCATTGCAACGGTGCCTGAGGAAAGCAGGGCTACAAAAATCAGTTACGATTGTAAAATTGCTTCCGAGCTTAAAGAGTTCGCAATCGTCTTTACGATCGTCCCGCAGCACGCCAAACTGTATTATACGCTCTCAGGGCAGGGGCGGGGATTGCATGGCCACCGAGGTCATCTACGTGATCTTTTGCGGCGAGGAATACATAGGCGAAACAGCGCGCCCGTTGTGTGTTCGCATCCATCCACTCACCGGGTTTAGAAATATGTGGGGACAAAAAAAGAGTCTCAGTGAAAATCCTGGCGCACGGATCTTAAACATCAGCCCAAAAATGTTTGAAAGCTTTTTGGATTCATGCGAAAGGCACGAAAATAAAACGCAAAAAGAAATGCCTAACGACCACACTTTAACTCGCTCATTATCTCAATCAACTCTTCTAACCTAGTTCTTTGTTATAAAGACTGGTCCTCATATTCTAGTCATCAACTCCCTCTAATATCAAAAATCTTGTCAGCGTAACCCAGAGGGTGAGTGTCTGGCTATCGGCTGTCAGCTGAGCTAGTGATGTAAGAGTCTTGACACTTTTCCCACTTTGCTGAAGAGAAGTCGAATAGATTGCATATCGTGTTACCCATTTGAGGCTCTGAAGAAGGAAATCTGCTGAAACGTTAGCTGATAAAGCATTCTAGCAATCTCGGTCACGGCTTACAGACAACTCAAAAAAATAATATTATACTACCTCTGGTTTCACTCTGAGATCAAAATGAGAACTCCAAACCTGGAAGTCGAAATCTCCTTCAACTCGCATTGTGTTACCCTACAGAAGTGCAATTTCCAGGCAGGAAAACAATCTTTGATTGTTTCATCAAGTGAGGCAAAATATTGATTATCAGCTCTCAATAGGTAATATTTTTGGCTTGTATCTAAAGCATTACCTGCATCCCAACGCGGTCAGCCTCTCCACCAACGACGAATAAAAGCCCGACTTGGTCGGCCACATCTGGATCGTTTTCCACCAAAGTCTGAGCAGCCGTTACCATACAAGCCAACTGCGCTGAAAGTGATATCGCGCGGAATCTCAGTAACTTCCGATGTCATATGCTTCATACCTTTGCCATCACAAGAACCCCGTCCGTAAATGTTCTTTTCGTCCTCTGTTGGAGGAATGTATGGTGGTACAGTATCCAAGTGCGTGTTGAATACTAATTTTGGGGCTGAAAATAAGCATACAAGAAGCTTGGTAAAACATAGCTTCCACACCAAAATTCTATCAAAATAAAGAATATGCTTGACTCGGGGGAGACGAATGGTGGATGCCAAAAAACATCGTGAATTCTTCAATGACTAATGGATACCTTTGTGTTTTCCCCACCCATTTTATCCTTCCTTTGAGTTTTTCTTTTGTATGAGAAATCCATTCTTCTACATAAAACAAAATGATCCTCAAGGTGATTGCAAACATAAATGTAAAAAAAGATTTTTTTCGTAAAAGCTACTTGCAGATGTCGACATGACTAAGTAAATATCAACATAAGGCTCACAAACTTCATCCAAGGGTCTTCGTGTTGCTAAAAGGTTGAATCTTGAGGAATCATTGTCGAGCGGTTGCTTTGCCACAATCCATCCGTTATTTTCGAGGCTTTCTTTGATTAAGTCGCCCAACTTCCCTAAAAATAGTCACTTTGTGGCCAAATGTCAATGGATCTGAATGAGTATCTATTCGCGATGTTATATGGCTTTTCTAGGGCTTCAAAAGAAAACTTTTATA